GGTTTTAATTTTGGTTCAGTGGAATTTATTAAGTTTCATATATGTGCATCCAAATGTTCTGTATCTGGTCTTTCGAATCCAGGGTTTCCGTGGTCTTCTTAATGTTGATGTACAAGAACGTCTTCACTGACATGGGTTTTATTGACTTCGTCCTCACTATACTTCATAATATCTTATTTTACATCAATAACTAAATATCAAATATTTGTTAAATAGAACTATTCGTAGACTTCACGTTCTTCATAATAATTTGTAACTGCAATTTCCGTTTTTTAATGACAAAAAATAAGAATCGACAAGCGTGAAAGTAGCACGGTAAAATGTGAAACATTTCCGAGGTTTGACGCAATTCAAAATGTCTAGTTCGGAAATATCCGGCGCTGCCATTACTCGAACAGTTTCGAAATATGTAACTAGAATTTCTTTCAATTTTTATCTAAAATTGAGGCAACTACATAAATCCTAAACGCTTCCGATCGGTCTGTCTACATTCTGGCAAATTTGCTAATATTTTATTGCGGTCAAGTAAATATTACTCACGACTATAAATCCAGATACGACAGTTAGTAGCAATTTTGGCTACATTTACAGCAACTGTAACACTTCGTAACTGTTACACGATAACAAACACAATATTTAGGATTACATCTAACTCGGTCAATATTTTGCGCCTGATTTATTAGTGGTTGATCAACTTTTATGTTGATAAACTTTGTTTAGGAATAATTTTCTGAAATCTGTTGTGATTTATACCTGCTTCATATTTATTGTAATCTATAGCTTTAAAGTACCTATCATAATTATATTGTATATATATATATATATATTTATTTATATTATTTATAACACTTAGTCTTGCAATAATAAATAAATAAAGAGTACTATAACTAAATAAGAACAGATGTAATTTAATTATTAAAAAAGTTTATTAATTAATCGCTGCGTTCGGGGTGTGGTGTGAATGTAAAATCTCAATTTACTCGATTGGTTAGGTCTGTTCTTTTTTACATCATGGAATGTATGCTATAGTCGCGGGTACGATTACTCGCACGGTACAAACATTTGTATTTATGAGTTTGATTGTTGGGAGTATATTGATCTGGAAGTATTCTATGTATATATTATGTAAGTATTTACAAAATATGTATCTAAGTATTTCTATCAGTTGTTTAGTACCTATAATACAAGTTCTGTTTAGCTTGGGATTAGATGGCGATTTATAAATTATCCATTGTTATTATTGTATGAGAAAAAATTTAGTTCATAATATACAATAATAAAGTTTATCCAAATTCGACTGCTTATTTGTATAGAAAAATGTATAAAACTTTCTCATTTTAGTTAACAGCATAAGTTTCCAAAGTTATTTAAGTTCATAATGATTTAACAAGTAATTATTGTACTAATTAATATTAACCTTTGGTAGAAATAAACTTGCAAATTAATTGATATAAAAGTTAGTGCCTATAGAAACTATTTAATTGAAATCGTGTAACTAAAATGTTTTCAATTATTTGAAGCTTTCTTTCACTACTTGAAATAACTACGTTTTTATTACATATCAAATCCAGTCTATAATCAGGACTGACAATGTATCAGGCAGCGCCACCACTATGTATCATGTGACAATAATGTCAGTGGTTCTCTTCATGGAAACCGATGACTATACCACTTCCATAAGGCTATTATTTACTATTGTAGCTACATAAAAAACAGTATTTATTTAATCAGGTACCGTATTCGTGGTTATTTTACTGATCAACCCAAAAGTTAACAGCAGAGAATGCATTTAGCATTAAGTTTGTAAAACACATTTTTTTGTCAACAAAGTTATTTAAATAAATAAATATGTATAAATTCCAGTTAATGCCCAGATTCCGGTGTTATTTTGTTCAGGGTCTATCTAATTTTGTTTATTTTATTCTCACAACAAAGCTGCGGGCAACTAACGACTATTTCCCTCACCTACGTCATAGTTAAGCCGCAACAAAGCCTACGTTTAGTAGACCGTGTAGAAAGTAATTGAAGATGATACGTGATGAGAATACTTATCCGTTTTACGTAGAACAAGAAAACTACAAGTTTACTTTCAGATTATACGGCCCCGCTTGTAATAGGGCTTGAGTTTGGTTAGAGCGTCAACTTTATCAGGTAGGGACTAAAAAGTTGATTGGGTTAGTTATTTGTTTTCGGCTGTCATGACCTTACTCATATAATACAGAATAGTGATAACTACAGAGGACAACATGAATATCTATATGCTGTTAAACTTAAACTAATTATAATTTTTATTTACTTTTAAAATTACTAACCGGATATTTACTCGTATATGCCTGTCCTTGCTTAATTTATTCTCTCAATAAGACTGACTTTCCGACACACTTATATAGGTAATATGAACATTATATTGTAGGTGAGCTAATTTACCCCATAATAAAATGTCATATGACAGTATACAGACTAATCTCGGAGTGTCAAATCGAAACCATGCGGCAAGATGATGTTGAGAATAAGAAGGTCAATGAATTTATTGCCAAGAATTGTCTACAAGAACAATGGGATGTATAATCTGAATATTGTACAGTTAAATCTAAAACTATATGCGTCCATAAGATCATGGTCACAGCAAGTTTATGTGAAGTCAAAATAAATAATTCATTTAGGACATCTTTTGGCGCTTATAAACGTCAACAATTTTTATTATTATATCTACTTTAAAATTCGGCTTCGGTTCCAATACTCCAATTAAAATAACTGTCAAAAAACTTAAGTAGCATCTACGAGTACGTTTTTTGTAAATCTAATGCTATATTATTATTATTACTTTATGACATTATAAAAATTAATATGTAAACATTAGTCAACTACGTACATTAATAATATTAAAATGGTTTAAACTCGTAAACGCAGAAGTCCCAACATAACTCATGTATAAACTTATTCCACCTTTGATCTCAAGCAAACATCCACTTTTCCAAAGTCAAGAATGTTAGCTAAGTCATCAAATTGTATTAAATTTGCTTATGCATAGACGATTATAAAGCATACGAAAATGATACTAAGCATAAACTCACTGAGAACATTATAGGAGACATATACTTATACATTTTACATAGGCATTAGTTAGTACTACTTGTTTGAAAGAAATTATTTTATTTTTTTATATTTTTTTCATATAGTTGGTTGATACTCTCGATCTTTAATATATTACGTTGTCATTGTGTAAATCCATATCCTTATACTTTTCCTATACCATGAGGCCGAAATGTCAACTGAATTTCATATCGAAGAGGCAAGAAATCCAATGGAATATTTGATCGTTAGCTGTGAGTGGCAATTCAAATGTAAATACATTTGACATTGTATGCAGTGAATAGAATATTTTTTGTATGGTAATTCAAGTAGAATAAGTTAAGGACAGATACCATGGTGACTTACCTCTACTAGATGCAGTAACTACCTTATACCTATATGTTGCAATATTCAGAATAAATGACTCCATCGTTCTTTACATTAATTTATCTATACTGTCAATATAAATGTAAATGAATATTTGTCTGTTTACCTATAAACACCACAGATGATCGTCGTTTGACGTAAATATTGCTATTTTTGATACAAAAAAAACCGACGAAATAACGGTAATAAGTAACGGCTAGTAATCTATATGATATACAATGGTATGAATGTTAATTAAATTAAAAAAAAAACAAAATTATTATTGCAATATCCGTAAAACAGATTTGTCATAAAATTATGGTATAAATCCAATAAGATTTTGTTTTTAATTTATTTCTGTATCGGTCTTGTAACTTTTATTTAACAGTGAATGTTTCTTTTGTTGACGAATATTGAGAGAACAATCGTTTTGGTTCAATCGTTTCAATTTAAATCAATATTCAGTGCTGGCATAACGCAAACTCATAAACCAAAGCGTCCCTTGACCCAAGAACACTCAATCAAAATAGATTGCAAAATTTACATAAAAAAATCTCTCTGAATCTCTCTTCTCTCTTGATGTAGTTTTAATATCTTCTTTGTTGGCCGATGTTCTAGAGATGAAAGCAACAATCGTTTTAGAAATGCCTGACGTTTAATTTTCTTTTCATCGTTGTGACCCCTTTAAAGAAATATGTAATGAATAGCCACCATTGTAGGGACATTAAAAAATGTTTCGTTTCGTGATTCAGTTATTAATCCACAGTTTTGGGTCTCTCGTTATTGCTATGATAATGGGTTCGCGGGGTTTTACACAATACATCCTATTGTGCAGATTGTTCATTAACCAGAATGACGTAGTAATGGGTTTAGCTTTGATTCCTTACGATTACAAGGTTATGGTAAGCCGACTTAACACCAGTCGGATGTAACTTATGTGTACTTAACTGAACGATCAATTTACACTTTTAAACAGTTTAAGAAGTGACTCCTCGGATTTTTCCATTGAAATTTATTGTGAGTTAATATACTTTTTATTTCTATACCTATAAGAATGGTTTCATAATGTACGTGCATTTTTGTATCACCTTTTGTATCACTTTTTTTCCACTGTGAAAAAGTTTTAATATATTTTATATTTCTTTTAACAAAAAGATTACTTTCAACTACTTGTCCTATAAACATTTAAAATAGTTCAGCAATTGTGCACCTATCCATTTGTATAACAGCTTGATTGTGTAGGTCGAGTTCACTACAATAAGGAGGTTAATAATATTAATCGAAGGAATAACCAATACCACTCGGACAAAGTCGCGGGTTTCAGCTAGTCTATTGTATAAATTGCGTAAAATAGAAAACTATTATACCATGTAAAAGATTAAGAACAAAAAAGTATAGTAGTAGTTCAATCACGTTCGAGCAAATAACAAAAAATGAATTCTCAAGAACTTCAATATCCTTTTTTATATAAGAATGAGATAATAACTGAATTGTCCATGTTTACGGAAGTTACACAAGAGACTATATCTTTTATTCAATAGATTTATTTCCTACTTCAACAGAACAAACATGAGGCTGTCAGCGTCACTGCTCTGCATCTACTTCTACGCGCTGCTGTCAAGTGGAACGTCATCGAGTGGCGATGACAGACGGTGGCTCGTTGCATTAGTTGATTTAGTGGAATTAGACTACGTGGACCATTGTGAACAAAGAGCAACTGCAACATGGAATGAGCTAATTGGAGGCAATAAAGGACTATCTACGAAGGTTAGTAGTATTAAATATATACATTATTTTATTTTATATTACGATAAATACAATAAAATTTCTTATAAATTTCATCAACTTTATACTTAATATATGAATATAAACGTTTTTAAAAAATATTTCCTTACACTGCATATCTGAATAGGAGACAAATATGGAGTGCAAGGTTTATTATAATTGAATTGAGTCTAAAAAATATTTCACTATGTATAAGTAGATACTACTAATAGAATGGAATAAATAAACATTTTATTATTATTATTATACTCTGGTATAGTTTACATATATTTATTAATTAATAACATACCCACTTAGGTCACGTGGGTGCTACGGTAAACACGTACGCCGTTTTCGTTACATACGTACATGTAATGTATGAAAACGACTTTAATGTCAAATTGTTACTGGCACATTAGCTTCCATTGTTCTAAATTCGAACTAAAAACAAAATAATGTTGGTAAAATTGAATTTAATTTTACTTCGCTGTAATGTTTTATGGTTTTATATTCCCGTTGTTTTAAATTAAAACACTGTTTTTATAGAGAGCGGTTGTTTAAATTAAGTAAATTGGTCTTGTCGGTATTATGCAATGCCGACATTAAATTAAAGAAGGTATTAGAGTAGTATATTTTATATTTCATTTTTTCTATTAACAACAACGGAATTAAAATTTGTAAACGATAATGTAAAAAGTTCCTAAACCGAATTTTTCATCAAACAATATCTAACAGCTCTATTTTAGTTACTTAGATCTAAGAGAATACGAATACCTACTCATGTAGTGTACCCTTAAGTTTGAAGTTAGAAGTTAGAAGGAAATCTGAAAATAAATTTTGAACTTCTCATTCTAAGTGATTACACCCAAACTTCACGTGACATTTAACCAGAATACCTACTTATGTGCTAAATTTCGGCACTTTCATCATGAAACAAAGTAGACATCTGAAAATAAATTAGAACTTTTTATTCTAGTTGGTCATGTGACCGCACAGTTTTTATGAAGGTTTTAACAAAAAATTGTTTTCAACTATTAACTTGGCATATTTAGGTTAAGATTTTTAGTTTTTAGACAAGATTTTTGCTAGTTTTTAACTAGCTTATTTCGGTACCCTTTACTAACTCAGTCTATAAAAATTTTGTTCGTTTTTTTATATATAAAAATTAAGTCTTTTGTGCCAGCATTCTGAGCTATATACATACTATATAGCATTGGCATAAGTTATACCAGTTAGCAAAAGTACTACGCACTGACATGTTCACTGACAGGTAATTTCCAGAGGAGCCAATTCTCGTTGTTAATTTGATAGGAAACGTCATATCAAAGTATAAAATATATATTTAGACATTTTCTGTCTTACGTTAGTCGTATGATTTTGTACCTTGTGCCAACGGAGTAAGAATAAAATATGTGACAACTTCTTTCTGTCCTATTTTTTTTTACCTGGAATCTTGCGTATCTGTGCTCTGGTATCTATTTATATATAGGTGCATATTATTTAAAATTCAAAATTAGCATGCTCTTTTTATTATTTCCTTTTTATCTTAGCTTCAGCTTTAATTCTTCTTTAGTCATAAAATTACACATTATACATTGTATACCTTATTTACTGGTTTCTTGCTTCCGTCCAAATATTTTTTATATTTATATAAGGCACAAATATGTTTTTTGCCTTTTGCTTACCCATCTACTGCTTTTCATTTATACGTAATGTCCTATGGTGTTATACTCGATAACTTTAGTTTTGACACTTTTCCCCTACTCTAGTAGCAAACTTTTTTAAAAGGTTATATTGTAATTGGAGTACGATGTCTGATCAATAGCAGTAACTAAACATGTATTTTTCTTATTGTATTATTGACAGCTTGTCTATCATTATTTTTTTCTTTCTTTCTTTATATATATATATATATATATATATATATATATATATATATATAAATATCCCCTTGGGCACTTTGTGGCTCAGACGTGCCGTATAGGTAGTTTTTTGTTGATCCTTTTTCACTTGTTGATCCGGAGGCCTTTTGTTGATCTAATGCCAGATGACCATATATAAATGTTGATCCGTTTTGAGCCACAACTGTCACGACGAGTAATAATAATAATTAAGCGATTTATACACGATTTTATACAAATCCACCTTTTTGGCATACGAGCACTTCTTGATCCAATTCAAACGGGCCAATCAGGGTGCAGCATTTGCCAAGGGCTTCCTCATTGGCACGTTTGGGCTACTACATTATGGCTACAGTAACTTAATAATGTCTAGCTAGTATTTCAAAAATAATAGTCTACCTAATCTAAATATTTATAGAAATCAGTCTGGAGTAACGTGACTCCAGATCAAACCTCAATACTTGTTATTTTTTGGATGGGAATCTTTTCTTTTGTAACAACGTTACTGAGCGAATAAAGAGAAGACGCAACGGCGGATCCAGGGGGGAGCGTCATGGAGGTCATGGGAGTCATGGGGGCGTCATGACTCTCCCCCCCCCCTTAGCCCAGAACTTAGGTAGACCACTAATTGAACTAAAAAATAATGAAACAGCAAATTTTTTTGCACGATCGGAGTGTTGGTGCAGTAGTATTAATTATAATTAAACATTGTTACTTAAAACATAACAGTTAAAGTACTATAACACTAAAAGCAAAATAGGTATTTTCAAAATACTTTTTCAAAATAAATTACCCTTTGAGTTTTTGTTCAAACCTCAGATATTATATTTATTTTAGGTATATCAATCAATACATAGTATAGCATAGTACAGTCTGTCTGTCTGTCTGTTTGTTCCGGCTAATCTCTGAAATAGCTGGACCGATTTTGACGGGACTTTTTTTGGCAAGTAGCTGATGTAATAAGGAGTAACTTACGCTACTGTTATTTTAGAAAAATAAAATAAAATTTCACGCGGACGAAGTCGCTGGGGCCAGCTAGTCTATAGATATACCGAGATTTAATGTTTAAGTTGCTATTATGTTATTGACAAAATTTTACTGTAATGTTACTATTACGTTATCCTACACAATTTGTATTATTTTGGATGAATAAATAAATAAATAAATAAATAATAATCTATACATCTATACATTTAATAAAAATTGGAGTGTCTGTTTGTAATATTGAAAAAACCGTTTTTTACTACATGCATATGAATATATGTAAGGTACATATACCAAAATAACTATTTTTATAATTTTAGTCTGTCTGTCTGTTTGTTCCGGCTAATCTCTGAAATGGCTGGACCGATTTTGACGGTACTTTTTTTTGGCAGGTAGCTGATTTATAAGGAGTAACTTAGGTTACTTTTATTTTAGAAAAATAAAGTTAAATTCCACGCGGACGAAGTCGCGGGAACACCTTGTTTTTAATAAAAACATCTTTTTTATGGTACTTGAGAATGTTGAAGCCTGTTGTTTGTAATATTGAAATAACCGTTTTTTACTACTTGCATATGAATATAAATACGGTACATACACCAAAATAAAATATTTTACAATTTTTGTCTGTCTGTCTGTTTGTTCCGGCTAATCTCTGAAATGGCTGGACCGATTTTGACGGGACTTTTTTTGGCAGGTAGCTGATGTAATAAGGAGTAACTTAGGCTACTTTTATTTTAGAAAAATAAAGTTAAAAACCACGTGGACGAAGTCGCGGGAACAGCTAGTGTATAATATATTAGAGATACCTACGTGTTTTTTTATTGATGACTAGCTGTACACGGGATTTCGTCCGTGTTGAATTTAACTTTATTTTTCTAAAATATAAGAAGTTAAATTCCACGCGGACGAAGTCGCGTGTACAGCTAGTTGTCGGTAGTCTAGCGATTTATCTAGCACACCGCTTTGATTCCTGCTTGGTGGTCGAGGGTTCGATTCCTCGGACGCTGCAAACATTTGTATTCATGAGTATGATTGTTTGTAACGGTCTGGGTGTTTTCTATGTATAGATAATATATATGTATTTACGAAAAAAAAACTTTGTATTTATATCAGTTGTCTAGTACCCATAACATAATCTTCAGCTAGCTTAACTTGGGTCTAGATGAAGCTGTGTGAATTGTCCTGAGATTACTATTATTACTATAATAAATCTTTTCAAATCAGCCGATGTTTATTTTTGCCATAATACGTGCTGTTACCATGTGATAATATTACGTACGTACTTATTACTGTTTTAAATGTGATGCGTTCATTATTTATATTTCCTTTGAATTAAAGACAAATGTAAGTATATATATATATACTTACATTTGCACACTTAGTTGATCCAGCCACGATCCGTAGATATTGCTGATTCCACTGTCTCTCTCTTTCTACCACTATAACGGTAGCGTGGCGGAACGGCAACATGTTGCCGTTCCGCGTTCTACCACTATCTTTGTATTCTAATATGCGATGTTGCCGTTCCGACCGAGACCATGCGTTGTTGCCAAATGTATTCGTCGATAGTAGTAGATACCTATACTCGATATATATTTTTTCAACAATTTCCTGCAATAGTGAATCCGTATCGGCATTTTTTTTAAATGCACAAAGATTTTTTGGCTCTGAATATATTTAAAAATCATTTACTTGTGTGTTGATGAATTTATATACTAGTACATGAAGTACCTAATACTTGTTTTGATTTGAATAGGTAGCGATATTATGAATTTATTATACGTAATCTAAAGATTTTGACGAAATAAAAGTAATTAGTTATCTGTTAACCTTGACTTCATGCTGGCACCAGTATTATCAGATGATGAACATACTCTTCGAAAACTTACAGCAGAAATATCGTGTTTGGACTCATTAGATAGGTCTCGATGAATAGAGTTTAAAAAACTTAAAATAAATGGTACATTAGAAATAATGTATAAAAACCCCTTACGTAAAATTCAACCACTTTAAACTTAATAATAATAATAATTAGGAAAAGAGAAAAGCTATACATGCACTGAAAGTAATTGATGCCTTCCACACAATATTTTCAGTATTAAACAACTCTGTTTGTTC